CAGCCATCATTGTTGTTTGGCGGGCGGCCTGGGCTGGATTCAAACCTGCCACCTTAGGTGTATGTGGCTGGTGCCTTAGCCACGTGAGCCACAGGCACCAAGCCTAAAAGGTATTTCTTTTCCTCTGCAGCCCTTTGAGCACTGGGCCTCCCCACCACACCTCCAGACATACTAAGAATTGCTTTATTTTTTTTGCAGTTTTTGGCCAGGGCTGGGTTTGAACGTGCCACCTCCAGCATATGGGGCTGGTGCCCTACTCCTTTGAGCCACAGGCACCGCCTCTAAGGGTTGCTTTAAAGACTGCCCCTTTTGCTCTGAAGATAGGGAGGAAGTTGGCATTGAGGAACTGGGATGTCTCTCCTGTGATACTGAGCAGAGATGTCCTTAGGCAGAATCTCCGAGCAGGACAACCTGGCCTTCCATCCCTCTTGTCTTCTGTTACCAAATCCCCTTCCCTCCGCAGCAGCCCTGAGCCCCACTCAGCCCACACTGTGTTCCCCAAAGTCACCCATGTGGCTGGAGCCTCCCTCTCAGGCTTGACCCAGGACTAGGTAAACCATATTTGGGCTGGCAAGAGCCACTCTGAGCTTCTTCTGAGATCCCCAGCCTCTCTCTGTGCTTTTTGGAGAATTACATAGGAAATATATGTGAAAATATATTTTCACATGTATTTGAAAAATATATAATCTGTAAAATTAGGTTCCACCTTGTCTTAAGGGGGTCAGCTTCCAGTATGATGGGAAAATTCACAAGTTGTTCAGAAGTAGTCCAGGCATTACATAAATCCCAGAAATGCAGATGTTCCACAATATACATTGAAATTTATAATGTTTATTGATAAATATAGCTTATCCTTAAATGTGTATGAAGGCGTCTCTGCATTAGTTTATTATATAATATACCATTCCTGAAAGGTAAAGCTTGGGGTCAGGGATCCCTGGCCTTTCCTTAACAGATTCCCCCTAAGGATCAAGAAGGAAGAAGTGTCCAAACCACAGTCAGACTCAGGCCAGGTAGGAGGGAAGACCCGAGGCCTGGCTGGCCTGTGTCCCGGGCGATACCTGTCTGGAAGCAAGGGCTCCCCTTCTCCCCCTCAGCTTCTTTGGTCTTTTTTAGTCTTCCCTTGAAGCAGCGGTTCTCAACCTGTGGGTTGCAACCCCTTTTGAACAATAAAAATACATGGTAGCATTAGGAAGGTTGAGAACCACTCCCTTAAAGTATAATGGACTAAGAATTAAGAGGTGTTTGCAGTTTGGGGGAGTTCTGGCCTTACTAAGAAAGAATAAACATATTTGCAGACACAGCTCGCTCCTGCCAGACGAGCTCTTCCCAATGGTGACTTTCTTTCAATCCTCTGCAGGCTTGTCCTCCAATGTTGTCCCTATGTACTTAGGAGAGCTGGCCCCTAAAAACCTGAGGGGGGCCCTCGGGGTGGTGCCCCAGCTCTTCATCACTGTCGGCATCCTCATAGCCCAGATCTTTGGTCTTCGGAACCTCCTCGCAAATGAAAATGGTGAGTTCAGGATGTCTGGGGACATCCCTTGGCCCTCCCACTGGCTCCTAAGCCATCACCACAGGGCAGGCCACTCCTGCAGGCTGGTCTATGCTAATAGGCTGGCTGTCCTTGAGACCCCCCTACTGCCCTAATCTCACAGTGCTATGTGCCATCTGCCCGTGTGCAGTGACAGCTTAGGGCTGTTTTCTAGTCCCTCTTAGCAGAAGGATGAGGTGGCTTTAAATGACTCGGCTTCTCTTGGCCTGCTCAGCGGCTGTCCGTCCAGAAGTCCATGGTATAGTAATGACAGCCACCAGTGTGCCAGGTTCTGAGCTCAGAGCATCCCTGGCTCCAGTTTACAGGAACCTCTGAGTAGCACTGCTGCCTGGGGCCAGGTAAATTATCCCACCCCACAGACCAGAAAGGGGAATGCCAAGGGTCTGAGCGACCTACCCCTGTAGGTGCAGTGGTGAGTAGTCCCAGACTCCACCTGCACCTTCCCAAGAGAACTCATGGCCTGGCACAGGGTAGGCTCACAAGAACTCACAACTGGCATTGTTTTTGTGTGACCGCAGCTTTCTTTGTCTTGGGTCTCAAACCTATAAAAGGAAAACCTTATTAACCATTGCACCAGCCAAGATATAGGAAGTGCTCACGGAGCCCAGGAACCAGGTCTTTCATATCCATTCGCGTACTCCTCTACACAGTCCCACGAAGCCTGCCCTGTCACCACACCCACTTCACAGATTCAGACCCCGAGGTACAGAGGGATCCGAGGACTTGTCCAAGGTCTCATTAGGACACAGCTGGGGCCGTGTTGAAGTACCTCACCCTCCTCCCTTTCCGTCACCCCTACATGCATTCAGGACACCTGCATCTAGGTGCCTGCGCTCATTAGATGCAGGGACCAGAGTGAGGAAGCTAGATTCCTGTCCCCAGAGCTCCCTGCAGCAGGATGCAGAGCCTGGCACGCACGCTGCTCCAGGCTGCGAGGGCGCGAAACTGAGGTTCATTTTCTCCCCTTTGCCTCCAGTTTCACCTTTGGCAGAGATGGGGTTAACGTCACCCACATCTGAATTTTGTGTGCTGGAATCACACTGTAGGTTGTCACACGCCACATCACACGGGTGAGGTGTGTCTGTGTCACAGCTGCACCTTTGTGCAGTGGCAAACCCCACCGTAGGAGACACCACGGCCAGCGGGGGACGTGAGGATGTCTGAATGGTGGCTGGTTTTCATTTCTATCATCAGTGCTCCTGTGACCGTCCCAGGCTGTCCTGGGGGCCCAGGCCCAGGCCCAGGCATTGGGCATAGCAGGAAGTGCGTCTAGCTCCTCCGCCCCTGCCAGACTGTCCTCTAGAGGACACCTGTGTCTCCATAGCGACCTCCCCTTTGCCCCTGTTCTCAGCCATTCTCTCCCATTCCGTCCGCCCTGGGTGTGGGGTGGTTATTCATTGCATAGCCACGCTGCAGTTCCTGGGTATCTGTCGCTCGAGAGGCCTGTGCTAGGTGCTGGGGATGCAGGGTGAGAAACATGCCATCTCTGTCCCCAAGGAGGCTGTGTCCTGGCTCGGGGTCTCAGGGCAGAGGCAGAGGGGGAGGCACATGTGGTCGGGTGGCCGGGAGCCTCTGCCAGCAGCTGCCTTCCTCCTAGGCTGGCCCATCCTCCTGGGGCTGACCGGGGTGCCTGCGGCGCTGCAGCTGCTCCTGCTGCCCTTCTTTCCCGAGAGCCCCAGGTACCTGCTGATCCAGAAAAGAGATGAAGAGGCTGCCAAAGAAGGTGGGTGACGTTAGCCCGGGGCGGGCGGGCTTGGGAGGCTCTGGTCTGACGCGAATTTGCCACCTTCAGCCCTAAAGACGCTGCGGGGCTGGGACACGGTGGACATGGAGGTGGAGGAGATCCGGCAGGAGGACGAGGCGGAGAAGGCCGCGGGCTTCATCTCTGTGCTGAAGCTGTTCAGGATGCGGTCCCTGCGCTGGCAGCTGCTCTCCATCATCGCCCTCATGGGTGGCCAGCAGCTGTCCGGGGTGAACGCGGTACCTACAGGGCAGCTGAGGGCCATGGGCCTCAGGGTGGAAGGCGGCGTCCCCATGGGGCGGCGGCACCTTCCCGCGGCCTCCACCCCCAGCCCCTGCTGTGTCCTTCCAGATCTACTACTATGCAGACCAGATCTACCTGAGCGCCGGCGTGAACGAGACCCAAGTCCAGTACGTGACAGCTGGCACGGGGGCCGTCAACGTGGTGATGACCATCTGTGCCGTGAGTATCCCGGGGAGCTGAGGTCCCACTGGCCCCCAGGGACAACTCAACAGTAGCGTGGGGGCTGACCGAGGAAGTAGGGCAAGGCAGCAGCTGTCCCTCGGGCTCCGTTCCCCAGCTTCCAAGCTCTCTCTTGTGTCACGCCTGTGGCTTCTTGTGGCCCCTACTCCAGACATTCCGCCCAGCAAGGTGACTCTGCTCCAGCTGTGCAGGGCCCATGCTTAGGTCCATGGTGTGGCAATGTCAGAGGTCCCTATACTGGGCACAGAGCCTGGGCAGACCTGGGGCCGGCTTGGCCACCCCCAGATGGAGCCAGACCCCTGGTGGGCAGAACTCTTAAAATGCATCTGGCATGGGGCTTCCAGTGGCTGCAAGAGGCCTAAGATTTAAGGTTGGGAGAATTAGGAGGCCTTGGAGTGGAGTCTGATGTGGGCAATTAGACCAAGAGACACAGCCTGATGTCCCGCAGGCCACCAGGGGCACATTCTAGCTGGATGTATGGCTTCCCCTGAGACCCCCGTCCCCACAGGTGTTCGTGGTGGAGCTGCTGGGCCGGAGGCTGCTGCTGCTCCTGGGCTTCGCCGTGTGCTTCAGCGCCTGCTGCGTGCTCACCGTGGCCCTCTCGCTGCAGGTGAGGGAGCCCTGCTGGCGGGGCCACCAGCCTACTCCCACCCTTTTAAAGAAAGAGAGATCAGGCTCGGCGCCTATAGCTCAACCAGCTAAGGCGCCAGCCACGTACACCTAAGGTGGCGGGTTTGAATCCCCAGCCTGGACCCGCCAAACAACAATGACGGCTGCAACCAAAAATAGCCAGGGCGTTGTGGGGGGCGCCTGTGGTCCCAGCTACTTGGGAGGTGGCGGCAAGAGACTCGCTTGAGCCCAGGAGTTGGAGGTTGCTGTGAGCTGTGATGCCACGGCACTCTACCCAGGGGGACAGCTTGAGGCTCTGTCTCAAAAAAAAAAAAAGAAAGAAAGAGAGATCAAAATGGGTTCGTTTTAGCAAATACAACCAGTCAGATATCTCGGGACCACATGACACCCCACCAGTACCCCAGGGCCACTTTCAGTGAATTTTCCAGTGGGTGGTGGGGGTGATGCTGCTGAGGGAGGAGCTAGGGCCCATCTTCTGCTAGGCAGGGCAGGCCAAGGATTCCCGAGGTCCCCACCCCAGCTCACCTGTGCTGGGCCAGGTCTGAACCCACTGCTTTCTCCCCACAGGACACGATATCCTGGATGCCTTATGTCAGCATCGTCTGTGTCATTGCCTACGTCGTAGGACACGCCATTGGACCCAGTATGTACTGAAGCCCCCTCCCTGCACCATCAGTCCCAGCAGCTGCTGGCTGAGCTCCTTAGAGAGACTTCAGGAATCCTGAGGCATCCCTGAAATGGCTTCTCTCCCCTCCCCTAGGGGCCGCAGGGCCCGGGAGCGGCATAATTAGGGATAAAGAGCAAAGGGAACATGCTGGCCTGTGCTGTGGCAAAGTAGACCTCCCATGAGGACACTGGCACTTCCACGGATGTGCAAGGAGGTCATCCGTGGGGCCGGCCATCGTTGTACCTGCTAACTGCCTCCCCTCCCATGCCCCTCTCCCCAGGCCCCATCCCCGCCCTGCTCATCACTGAGATCTTCCTGCAGTCCTCCCGGCCGGCCGCCTTCATGGTGGGGGGCAGCGTCCACTGGCTGTCCAACTTCGTGGTGGGCTTGATCTTCCCATTCATCCAGGTAAGCAGCACCCAGAGCCCCAGATTCGCAGCCCCCACTCGGGAGAGCGAGAACCTGTGGGCCAGCGCCCCCCACCTGCTCCCTCTTCCCGCAGGAGGGGCTGGGCTCCTACAGTTTCATCGTTTTTGCCGTGATCTGTCTCCTCACCACCATCTACACCTTCCTGGTGGTCCCTGAGACTAAGGGCAAGACCTTCATAGAGATCAACCAGATTTTCACCAAGATGAATAAGGTGTCAGAGGTCCACCCTGAAAAGGAGGAACTGAAGAATCTTCCCCCTGTCAGCTCGGAACAGTAACTCCGGGGAAAAGAGGCCTGTTCAGTGAGTCTTCGTGGAGCTTCCCTTCGGCCTTTTTTCCTGACTTCTAGTCATCTGTGAACATTCAGGAGGAAGGCAGGTCTGGGTGGAATGCGGCCTCTTTCCGGCCTCCCCGCCCTAGCAGGGACTGTCCACAGGCTTCTGTGCCATGCCGAAAGCTGGGCTGTCTCCCTCCAGATGGGCCTGTCACCCACCCTGAGTCAGGCAAACAGCTGGTCCTCTGCCTTGCTGGGCTCGCCATTGCGTGGCTCCTGATAACACAACTTTCCTAACAGAAAGGGGTTAAATTTGCCGGGGAAACTAACTAACTCTTCTCCGTGCCTGCCCTGGCTGGGACCACAGGCGTTTGATGAGAGCCATTGTCATCCTCTTCTCAGAACCTTCCCCAGACACATTTGTGCTGGACAGTGTGAAGTCAGAAATAATGACATCCAGAAAACTAGATCTAGGGGACCTCTAGGGGAACGGATCCCTGTGGAGATATTAACTGAGCGGAATTATTACTCCTAAATTATGTTGTTAGTGGGAAATGGAGTTGATTCTGTATAGTCAATAAAACGAATCTGATCACTTTTCCCTAAAACGTGCTGCTTTTCTGTGAGCAGGTGGGAGGCAAGGGGGGGAGTTCCCTGCTCCTTCGGGGGCTTGGCTACATGGGGTGTTGGCTTCTGGAGGGCCGGGGCTTGGCCCATTGTGTTCATTCCTGAACCCCAGAGCCAAGCAGGGGTGTGGCCTGCATGGACTCTCAGACAGTATCCTCTGCAAGAAGGGGCAAGAGGAGGTAGCAAAGAAGTGAGTTCTTAAGTTTAAGATTGGTGAAGCCTCTGCTCATGCTCAGGTGTGCAGTAAATATTGAGGATCCTGGACGTGAGTCTTGGAGGGGGGAAGGGAGAAGGAGTGGGTGCTCCCCCATATGGCAGAGCTGGAGGCTTCTGGAGACGTAAAATATGGAGAAAACACATTGAAAGTGCCAAACAGCCTGCCTGTGGCAGGAAGCAACATCTCCCAGAGTTGGGAGGCAGGAGCTGGGGACTGGGCGGGACAGCCGTGTTGACTTGGGAGTAGCTTTGGTGGACGTGGAATGGGGATTCCGCCAGCAGCAAGTTAAATCACTCACAGGAATGTGGGCCCAGAGGACGTACGTGGCATAACGCTGCAGTTGAACAATCCTTGACCTTGCATGGCAGGAGTCTGCAATGTGGAAGGGACATAGAAACAGCCGGAGATGTGGCCGCTGAGGAGTGGCCAGCTCAGGATATCAGAAGTCCAGGGAGACTGCAGCCCCTCTACGACAGGGGAGGCCCTGCTGTTCATGATTCTGGACATCTACTGCCTGGGTTCAAACCTTGGTTCTACTGCTTATTACTTGTGCGACGCGGGCAAGTTACTTAGTTTTTCTTTACCTGTTTTCTCTTCTATTAAGTGGAACTAATAATAAATGTCTGTGAGATATAAGTGACGTTCTATGTTTATAGTGCTTAGGTCAGGAGCATGTTTTAAGTACTCTTAGGTATTTATAAGTGCTTGGGAATGAGCATGAAGCCTGAAGACAGGAGAGATGTAGTGAGAAGCCATCAGGCACGTGTCCTGGGATTGAGTTATCAAGCGGACAGATGGCAGGTGGTGGGAGCCACCTCACTGTCGCAGGGGGAGATCACAGATTAGCAAGGACAGAGAGTCTAGGATGACCCATGTGGAAACATTAGACTTGGAGACTTTGGTACAAATGCCCGAGCAGCTTCATAGGGACTCAGAGGGCCACATATAGAAATATTTATAGATAAGGGCCTATACATGGGCTGGTAAGATACAGCACAAGGAGAGAGATGGGGGACTATAGAATTCAGAGAGACAAGATTTTTCCGGTTGGAAAAAGTACCCCCAGGCAGGTGAAGAATGAACGTTCTGGATGAGAGAGAGGACAGAGAGATGTGGGGCCTTCGAGGGTGCTCACGTAGGTTGATCCTGAGGGTCCTCATGAGCCAAGCTGAGTTGGACTTGATCAGCAAGATGGCCCTGGCCTTCGGGGTGGGCCAGGCTGGGAGACCAGTTGGTAGGAAACAATGAGAGCCCAGCAAAGCCAGAGTGTCTGGAACCCTATGTGAGGGGGCACTGGGAGAGCAACTCAGTAGCATTCGAGGGCCGCTCAGCCCTCAGAGATGAGGAGTGCGGGGACCCTGCCAGGTTACTAACAGGGGCCCATGGGGTGGTTTGGGGAGCTGGGTGGTAGGTTTCAGGAGAAGTTCATGTAACTTTTGGACATTTTGAGATGGAAGAGCTCATGGGACATGCAAAAGATGTCCAGAAGGAAGCTGGCATGTGACTCGGGAAATCAGAAGAGCAGGGACAGAGGTTTGGAGGGAAAGTACAAATCTGTCAGCACTTGCTATGTGCTGGGCACTGCGGCAGGGGAGCAAACCACGTCCGAGTAAGAGGTGTGATACAGAAACTGGGTCAGCCTGGGGTGGCTGGCTGGTAAAATACAGCAGGCAGGTAAAATGCACAAGCACGATGGCTTCACACTACATCTCACCCATCTTCAGGATTGGTGCAGGGCATCCAAGCACTTATAAATACCCTGCTGGAGAGAAGTGGCCACCCCAGAGGCGCCAAGGGACAGCAGATGCAATGTCTTAGGGATGAGGAAGGTTGACCACAGCTCAGGGGATGACAGGAGGCAAGTGGCACTGGAGCAAAGAGGAAGGGGAGGGAGAGAGGTGGCAAACCAGGAGAATCTAGGTCAGAGACTCCGTCCTGAGTGTGACGGGAAGCAGCCCCTGGCTGATTTGAGCCAGAGGGTCTTGATTTGATCTGCAACTTAAAGATCATTACAAGGCCAGGCATCATGGCTCATGCCTGTAATCCTAACACTCTAGAAGGTCAAGGCAGGTGGATTTCCTTAGCTCCAGAGTTCAAGACCAGCCTGAGCAAGAGCGAAACCCCCTGTCTCTAAAAAATAGCCAGGCATTGTGGCAAGTGCCTGTAGTCCCAGCTACTCAGGAGGCTGAGACAAGAGGATCACTTGAGCCTAAGAGTTTGAGGTTGCTGTGAGCTATGATGCCACAGCTCTCCACCAAGGACGACAAAGTGAGACTCTGTCTCAAAAAATAAAAATTAAAAACTTTTAAAAAATAAAGAATCATTCCAGCTTCCCTGAGAAGAGTCTGGGGGAGCCCAGGAGGTAGCAAGAAAATCAGCTCCTTTCCAGACAATCGAGATAAGGGTAAAGCCCCACGTTCACAGACAGAGCACAGAAGGTGGGAGGGGCGCCACCCAACGAGAGAAACTCACAGAGAGGACTCAGCTGCCAGGCCTGCCATTTGCTGGGACCCTTTGGATTCAATGACTCAGTGACCCCAGGGAAAGCAGTTTGTGGGGAGTGAGAGCACAAGGCAGACGGCCAGGTCGAGGACTGCCGCTGAGGCAGAAAAGAATAATTAGGAGTGCCAACGGTTACCCCTTCCTTCTCCCTTTGCTGTTCCCGTTTGCAGGGGTGTCTTGTCACTTACGTGACATGTCCATATACATAACATGTGCAGAAGTAAGTACACAGGTATGGGAGACGTGTGGTCAAAATCTTACTGGCTCGGCGCCTCTGTAGCTCAAGCGGCTAAGGCGCCAGCCACATACACCCAAGGTGGCGGGTTCGAATCCAGCCCGGGCCCGCCAAACAACAATGATGGCTGCAACCAAAAAATAGCCGGGCACTGTGGTGGGTGCCTGTGGTCCCAGCAACTTGGGAGGCTGAGGCAGGAGACTCGCTTGAGCCCAGGAGTTGGAGGTTGCTGTGAGCTGTGATGCCTTGGCACTCTACCCAGGGGAACAGCTTACAGCTTGAGGCTCTGTCTCCAAAAAAAAAAAAAAAATCTTCTTACTGATGGGAAGGCATGACTTAAAAATTTTGGAGACAATCGGGGGCCAAGCGGGCTGCAAAGATAAATGACAGCCAAGGAGGAATGTCACTTTGAAAGAATCAGCTGACGCCAGGCGATGGGAAGTCCCTCACATCCATCAGAGTCAAGGTCAGGGTAGTCAGCCGGCGAGACAGATGGAACTGACCAGGATGACAGACCCATTGCTCACCGTGGTGTCCTGGGTGACTGGAACAGTGACAGCCAGCACGTAGGACCAAATGGGTTTTGCATGAAGAGTCTCTGCAGGGAGGATTTTAAATGGTCCGAGCAGGACTGGGGGGGAGCTGCCAGCCCTGCGGTCGACCAGCCGTTTCTAGCTTTGGGACTTCACAGATCACAATGTGGTAAACGAATGTAGGGATGCCTACTTTTTATTTTGCGAATGAGAACACGAATAACAAATTGGCTCCCGTCAACAATCTAATGAGAAAAAGACATGGAAAAAGAAAGGGTGTTTTTATTATCGGGGAAGGGAGTCATCACAGAATACATTTCAGTCCTTTAAACTGAATAGATTTTTCTTTGTGAAAACCTCTCTCCATTGCCCGGTGTCCTGGTGTTGCTCACACACCAGCACAGAGACATCAGGAGCGGGGATGGGGGCGGGGTGGCCAGCACCTGGGTTGTTTTTGTTCTGGGAGGCTCTGGAATGCCAGTGAGACAGAGTCCTGTCACCTTCAGTCTGCTTTCCCCTGGGCTGTCCCTCAGTCCTGGAGGAAGAATGAGGAAGCGAGAAGCTGCTGTCCTAACACCCTCACTGACACGACTTTCACGGCAAAAACTGGCGAGATTGGGTTCTCTTACCTCTGACCCTTTCCTCCCCTCCTGCCATTCCTCAGCCAGTGGGTTGAGTGTTTGTCCAAGGGCTGCTCTTGTCACTCTCCATTCAGCAGGGGCGTGACACGTCATGGCACCTTCTGTCTTCAGGAATCCATGGTGCAGCCAGGAAGAGAAAAACCCTGCACGTGCTTTGCCTCCTTTGCTCCCCTGAAAGTGGAGAGGGTCACCGGAGCCAGGGGTGAAACCTGCCCAGGGTTCCTGCTCTTGCCAGTGTCTTACTCTGTTTGCGCTGCTATGACAGTACCACAGAGTGGGTGATTGATACGCAATAGAAGTTTAGCTGGCTCAGAGTTCTGGAGGCAGGGAAGTCCAAGGCTGAGGGGCCCTGTCAGGTCTAGGCCCCCCTGCTGCACCCTAATAAGGGAGAAGGCATGACATGGGCGAGACAAGAGAGAGGGAGCCAAACTCATCTTTTACAATGTGAGGACCCCACTCTCGAGACAGTGGACCCATTCCTGGGATAATAACATTAGTGCACTCAAGACCCTTGTGACCTAATCACCTGTTAAAGGCCCAGCTTTTCAACACTGCTGCATTAGAGACTGACTTCCAGCACACGAGCTTTGGGAGAAACATTCAAACCACAGCACTAGTTTTGCTCAAATCTGGCATGATCTGATCTGGAAAGATGGCCTCAGTATGCACTGCCGGTGTTTGGGTCAGTACATGAAGGAACAGACTCTATCAAGTTGCACCAATGTTTGTTGAATGGATATCCGAGAGATCTACCCAATGACATCTCTCTGTGCTTTAAAAAACTAACCCCCAGGCCAATAATAAATGACTGACCATTGTCTCCAGTTTCGGGTCTGCTGTGTTTAATATTAACCATCTGAGCATTTTCAGTGCCTGGCAGGGAGCCTGGCCCTTGTCTGCACTTAATAAATGTTAAATGAACTAGAATCGTCTTCAAGGAAAAGGTCCTGTGTGAGCTGAGCCTTCAAGAATGGGTGAGATTTGTACGGCAATGGAGGGAACACATTCTGGAGGGTGACAGAGGAGGGAGCATCGTGAATTAAGGACATGTAGCTGTAGAGGACGCCAAGAGACAGATGACCTCTAAGCAAGATGATTTACAGCTGAGGGGTGGACTCTCGGGCAACTTGTCCACAGGTGCTCCTTACGGAGAAGGAGCCTGTGCCCTCAGCACGTGGTCATTGTTAATTACTCCCCTCACCTGTATCATTCCCTTTCAATAAAAGGCTGGTGCAGAGGTAGCTCGGGGCTACCCGGGAAGTAAGGGCTAGCCCGCCCTCCTCAAGCTTGTACTTCTAATCCGCCTCCCGCCTGGTTCCTTCCTGCGCTAACCGAGACCAGGGCTACAGGAGCCCAACGGGTCGCGACATGCAAATATTTATTGAGCACCTACTGTGTGCCAGGCAATGGATCTACTGGTCAGAAAGACAAGTAAACCAATGCTTATGATCATTTCAGGTAACAGTCGGGAAGTGTTAGAGGGTCCCCGGCCAGAGGTAAGGGTTGCTTTAGAAAGAGCAGTCCTAGGCAGGTCCTCCTAGGGAAGAGTTTTCTAAGCCAAAGGAACAGCAGAAGGAGATTGGTTTTGCTGTGAGCTTGGCCACACTGCACAGAATAGAGCTGGCTAACAAGCTGAGAGGTCTGATGGACTGGCATTCGGTGTCTTTAGACGCAAATTGCGCTCAGTCGCACCATGACCTCCCAGATGCTGCTTTGTCCTTAGTCCCAGAACCTGTGAAAATGCTGAGTTACACCGCAAAGGGGAATTAAGCCTGCAGACGTTAGCTGCAAGCTGAGACGAAGATGAGCTTATCCTAGATTATTGGGGTGGGGGCAGTATTGTCACAGGGAAGAGAGAGAGAGCCAGAGGAAGAGCAGCACGTCTGATGCTGCTGTGTTAAAGACAGAGCCCCAGGCCACAAGCCAAGAGTCAGGCAAGGCCAGGAAAGGGTTCTTCACCCCACCCCCAGAGCCTCCAGAAAGGAGCACAGCCCTGCCGACACCTTGATTTTATCTCCGGGAGACCCAGGTCAGACTTACGACCTGCAATACCCTGAGAGAATACATTTGTGTCTTTTTTATTTTATTGTGCCATGGCATTACAGCTCACAGCAACCTCCAACTCCTGGGCTCAAGCGAGTCTCCTGCCTCTGCCTCCCAAGTAGCTGGGACCACAGGCGCCCG